TGGGATGTGGCTTCTAATGGGACTGAATATGTCTGCATTAGGGTTTAGCTGTGGGGTCTGGAAGTGGCTTGCCATTGTCTGGGGCTGATTAAGTCGACGGTTAATGTGTTCTTCTTGAGTAAAAGACAATAAATCATCCTTTAACTTATCTAATTCGCTTTTGAATATACTAATGTTTTCCGCTTGTATTTCTTGTTTCCTTTCTTGTTCCAGTTGCCACTGCTGTAGTCTCTCTTCTTGTTTCTTTTCTTTTCCTTTAACAACTGCTGTAATATCTCTTCTTGTTTATTTTCTTTCTCCTCCAACAACTGTTGTAATCTCTCTTCTTGTTTACTTTCTTTCTCCTCCAATAGCTGTTGTAATTTCTCTTCTTGTTTATTTTGCTGTTCGAGCTGCCACTGTTGCAGGTTTTCTTGCAACTGCTGTAATCTGTCTTTTCTTTTTCCTCTAGCAACTGTTGTAATTTCTCTTCTCGTTCTTCTTGTTTATTTTCTCTTTCTTCCTGTTTCTTTTCTTTTTCCTGTAACAACTGTTGTAATTTATCTTCTCGTTCTTCTTGTTTCTTTTGCTGTTCTTGTATTGTTGCCATTAAGTCTGCTAGGCTGTAGTTTGATTTGCCGCTTCTCGTTTCCATTTTTTTCATCCCACTCTCTGACACCAGTTTGTTATGCCTCCAGTCGTTACTTAATTTTCCGTAAATTCGTTCCGACAAAACTTTAGCGACACAAGTCCTTTCTTAAATAAAACTGGTTTATTCTTTCCGATTACAACTTGACCGATATACTTAATTTCAGCATTCGCTCTATAACAAACGCTAGAACGTCTTATGTGCTCGTGCTCGACAATACTCAATTACACACTCTCTAACTGCAGGTCAATTACTCATTACCTACACATTGTCCCGTCACGTTGTGACCATCTTATATATACCACCTCCCGACAATTCACGAAGGTTCGAGAAAGAAGTGGCGTGATACTAGTCACGTGACCTCGCTGACGCAACAATACTAACGTAATAGATAGGAAAGTATAACGTACTAGCTTTACTTTTTGTTATACTTTTAGATATAATTATATAGTATGGATATATATATATATATCAGAATGTAGAATCATTTTCATCATTTCTATATTTTAAGAAGAGTCATATAAAAGATATATTTTATGTTATGAGTTTTAAACTTTATAATGTCAAAGTATATCTGAAACAATCTAGAGAAATTTCAAGAAACAAGAGTGCACGTAAAACTTGTCATAATTTAACACACATATAAAGTATTGAAAATATAAGTAAGCCTGATTAACAATTTGTAATAACTTTCGAAATGCTACTAAGTCATGATACCGTACACTTCTGTAAGGGGGCAGGTCATTTTAAGTGTTGCTTGGAGACCGTGACCTTCCTAGTATAAACAAAATGAATACTAAATATTAAAAAAGTTTATTGCGTTTCAATCTTTTGACACCAGATTACTAGGTTAATTAGAAATATAATCACAGTTAAGAGGATGACTTATCGACTAGGCTATGGTTTAGTGAAATGAAAATCTATCAGTTGTTCTAAAGTAACACCACAAGTAGACCTGCTGTACAACTGTAGTTATAAATGAACAAGTTTCTTTTTATTTTACCACTACTAATTCATGCTGGGTTATGGTTTTACTTTTAACATCCAACTCGTAGGTGCATTATCCACTAGTTTTTACTTCTACTTCTAGCTGTTTATGTTCTAGCTAGTAACAGTCAGAAGATATGCTATAAATATTGGTCTACTAATTTTTGTAGCTGGGTGCCATTGATTTTTAATTAACATCACTTAAAAGAAAACAAATTAAGTAGAGCCTATTAGAATAATTAGAAATGTCAGGACTCAATCGCCTACAGCTTCCATTTTTGCCAGGATTTTCATTTAAAGAACCAAATGTAAGTAATAGTTCTCTTTTGATACTGTGATACATTATTGGGAAAGTGATGAGTTGTACATATAAACAATTTAACCCACCATTAGAATTTAAACTTTTAAGCTTTCCTTTCATGCATTAGTACTCCAAAACTGTAATAATATAAAAACATTATAATAAAGTGCATCTGTGTATGAAACTTATCAAAAATATCATTATTGGTAGTTTGCAAAAAATAACTTTAATGGATAAATTATTTTCATTGTTTTATTATGCTTGTGCCAGTTTGTATTTTCATGGGAAGAACTTTGATGTAAACAAGCTTCATTATTTTCACATCATTTACAAACCCATACATGTACAACATCTCTGAGAACACATTTCAATAACAAAGGCACAGATGTTCATAGAAATGCTTTATTAGTTTTTAACTGATGTGTCTACAAATGTATTGCATGAATTTCCATTTTTACTTGTATCTCTCAGAAGAATTGACATAATATGCTAAAACTTAGTGACTTACATGCTTTTATAATTGTGGAATAGGAGAACTTCACATTGCAAAATCCTATAATTCAACCATTCCACAATGATCGTTTCAGGCACTGTTTGCACTCAAATATCAACACATTTCAACTTAATTACAAAAAAAAGGGGCCAGGACTTTTTACCTGTGTAGTCACTTGCCAAAGTAAATGCCAGGAGCCAGATGGTTGAATATATAAATTGTTACAATAGATTTTGAACAACCATCCCATAATTGTAACAAAAGTCATATTTCATCAATTAATATTACACTACTTGTGATAATTAGTATGAAACTTTAATAATATTTTTATTTACCCCTTCTCAATTGATAATGAGTAATTACAACTGTAATAAATACAAACGTTTAGTGTATTTTGAAATGGATAAAAAGAACTAACCTATTGTTCAGTGACCAGTTATGTATTATACTTTAATAGGAGACTAAATTCAACTGTCCTCAGACACTGACCTACAAAAGTGGATGTGCCATTCCAGTTCCTAATCATGTGATGTCTCCTCTTGAACATTTACAACTTGAAAGTCAGCTGGGAGAAGGAAAAGTTCCTTACTTAACATATGGAAAGCAAAAAAAAGATCCTTCAAACTGTCAGCCATCTACTTTACCAAATTATGTTATATATGATAAGAAAGTAAGGCAGTCATGAATATTAATTTCTACAGAAGCAAAATAATCAAACCAAATTATATTGTTGTATAACATGGGCCAAAACACTTTAGGTCATTATTTTCCTGCATATTTAACCAGTAGTATAGTGCTAAATTTTATTGTGCCAAAATTAGTTAGACGTGTGACATCACCGTGAAGGTAAAGATCTCAAAGGCTAATTTAAATTCTTTTAGTTCATATTAAATAGAAAAAAGTATATTCAACACTAATTATTTGAGACTGCTTAAGTTAGAGCCAAATTGAATACTTATATAATAGTGAGAGAAGATATGCAACTCAACTACCTTTAAATTAAGCAACAAGGCAAAAAAACAACTGTGTACCAAATAAAAGTCACTAACATTAAAACAAGTTTTAAAATTGCATATCTTATTAATTTACTATCTTTCTAACTGCACCATAATATTAACAACCTTGATTTTTATAATATGCCTTCCATACCTCATATCCTGCCAACACAAATAGCTAAAAAAGTGACCTTTGGTTAAGTGTTAGGTTATGAAAGACACATAATTTCAGGTGTAAATTTCATAATTTTTTTTACATACATATTTTCAAGTGTCAGAACTCTGCTTCAATTTCAGGTGCTGAAGCAATGATCTGGTATGCTCAGGCAGCACTACATCCATGTATTTAACTTTCATTTCATATCTAAGGATTAACAAGGGCCATTTACACCCTTCTTCTAGGCTATCCCATTTCCTATTACCACTCTACTCTAAATGATATAAAGAAACCCATTTTTATAATCCAACCCTGATCTCTGGAATACTCTTTCAATCTTCTTGAAAACTCCTTTAATGTTGAAACCTCTATCACACCTGAAGTCAGTTAACTGCTTAACTCAAGCTGAATGTAAGTTTCCATATTTTAAACTCATGTCCTGTAGTCTTACTGCAAATGTTTTGGAAACTCCATCTGAATATATGACTTACAAAACTCTAACAAGCTAAAAGCTACAACTATGCCCCCCTGAGCACTTATGCTCACCAGTGAAAATGTGTCAAGGGATTTCAACCTATCTCTATATAACACTTCCAATCCTGGAATTATCCTAGTAACTGTCCTCTGAACCCTCTCCAACAACTCAATATTCTTTCTTAAATAAGTGACCAAAACTTAGTAGAGTGAACAAGCTGATTACTTTCTAAAACTTGTACTCAATATTTCTGCATATACAACCAAAAATCCTGTTTGCCTTATTATTAGTTAATTTACATTTTCTTTAGAGTCTTTGTAATAGTTATACCTCGATCTTTTTCTTTTATTTTTCAACTTCACTTAAAGCTTTCTCTTCAAGGCTAGAAGAATGATTACTGTTGAGATAACCAATATGCATAACCTTACTTTTATTAAGTAAAAAGTCCAGGTGTTAAAAATGTTAACATTTTTAATAAATTTAAAATACTCATTAATTTAATATCATCTGCAAATTTAACCAATTTACTGGTTTTTCTGTATCAATATCATTAATGAAAATGAGAAAAAGCAATGGAACATAGAACCAAGCTCCAAACCTTGAGTTACACCATTTTTAACATTAGTCCAGTATGATTTTGTCCAAGTTATAACAACCTTCAGCCTTCTATCACCCAACCAACTCTAAATCCATTTAACTTTTTAAGAAACCTCTAGTGTGGCACCTTTTGAAAAGCTTTTTGAAGGTGTAAGTACAGCAAACATACTGCAATACCAATATTCAGATTAAATCTAAAGTAGAAAATTTGTAAGCATTGATCTTCCCTTTTCAAATTCATAACAACCTGTTATAATAAGAAATTTGTCTATGTTCTCTTGTAAAGGTTTTTTAATTATTGATTAGTAATATTTTAACCACTGAAGTAAGACTAACTGGGTAATAATTATTTGGACATTGTCTAGTTCTATCCTTAAAAATCAATGTGGTATTGGCTAATCTCCAATCTTCTGTTCCTTTATCACCTTTCAATGGATTTATTAGAAATTAAGGTTTAATATGTACATACCTGCTTTTTCCTTCAGTTTTTCAATTTCAAATATTACCAACAGTACTTTCCTTCTAACTTAATTTGGTAATATCATATAAAGCATCACTGTGAGATACACTTGTGAAATCCACCCTAATTCTTCCATAGTAGAAATTTATTTGAAAAATGCACTTAGATGATCAACCATCTTATAATTACCAATATAAAATCTCCTATCTTCATTTCATAAAGGCCCAACTCTTATTCTAATATTCTATTTCCTTTTAACCTACTTTAAAAAGTATCTAAATTTAAATAAGTTTTAATTAGTTAATAGAAAGAAGGTTATTAAACAGAAATATTTTTGTAGTCTTTGTTGTTAGTGTATATATATATTTCAAAACATGAATATATATTTATATATTTGTATATCTATGTGTGTGCGTGTTATGTATTTCTTTTTACAAAATATTTATATCTGACCCATTCTCTTGTTTTTTCTCTTATTGAGTTACTATGTAACAGATTTTAGTTGTCATATTTCATACTGGAAAATTTCCATTTATTTTTATCTGTTAGCTGAAAGAGTGATTAAAAGAGAAAAAATGAATCTGTAGTAAAATCAGAATTTTTGGTCAAAAACTATATGACACATTTTTTATATTTTTCACTCAAAAATTCTAGGTTCTTAAGTTTGATGCCTACTTCAAAGAGAACATTCAGAACTCAGTGCTAGAAAAATGTAGAATCCGTCATGTGCACATCTATTATTACCTTATAGATGACACCATAAGCATATCAGAACCTGTAATGGAAAATAGTGGAATCCCTCAGGTATTCAGTACTAAAGTATATTACAAAAATGTTTGTAGTTAACAGGTTTCTGTTAGTAAATTGTCTATTTTTTGCCAAAACAACAACACAAAGAAGAAGAAAGTGGGACTTTGAATCAATCTCTACATCTGAAATAATCATTTGTATTAATTATTTAACTTGTGTTTTTCATGTAAGTAGTTCACTGATACATAATAACAGTTATGTATTCATATATTGCTTTTGGAAGGTAACAAACTGAGATATACAAACTATAAACTTCATAATAAAACTATGAAATTATGGAAAAAAATCATATTTTAAATTAGTTTTAGATATTATTGAAATTTGAACTAAAAGGATACAACGTATTAAGGTCAATTCAAAAATCAATTACTAAACAACAAACAAGCAGATGACTGATAATTTTTTCAAGCAGGATAACGTATAGTAAAATTTGTTTCAACTTCTAAATATAAACAAATTTTAAAACACATAAATTAAACATACCAGGTTAAAATACTTTTAATATATCTTACATACTTTTCAGCAGTTGATGGTTGATGAAACCTGGGTATATATTTTAAAAGGATTTTAAGCTAATATGTCATTAATTATGTGATTTAATCATTAAAAAAAGCTACTAATTTCCACTTAACACAAATGTTTCTGTTAATTTTCATGTACATTAGGTAATCAGAAAAAGCTTAAAGTAATCAAAATTATCAGCATAATCTTCATGCAGTCTACGTTTTTTTTAATAACTTTACAACTGGTAGGTAGGAAAATTGTTCTATGACAGCTCTGTATAAATATCTCTAAATCTTTCTTATATTTGTTTAGCAATCGGGCTTCCATAACCTGTTTCTTCAAACCATAAAGATTGTAAACTTGTTGTATAAATTGTCTTGATTATTGTGGTTATACAAGAATATATTTCAGTTGAAAGTAGTTTTTAAAATTATGTTTACATCAAAAATGAAAAGTTTTATCATACTTTATCTTAAAATACTAAATGTTTTTTCTTTTCATTTTATTATTTGGGAAAAAAAGCCTTCCAGGAACTCTTTTAAGAATACAGTCCACACACACATAAATGTTACTTATAGTTTTTAAACAAATATTTAGAATCAAATTTTCATGTTCTTTGCTTTCACTAAAGGAATATTTATCTCTCTTTTTATTTTAACAGGGTAAACTAGTGACTCGTCAGAAACTTCCCAAAAATTGTGAAGGTGAATTTTTCTTTTGGAAAGATCTAAACATAGGAACAGACATCATTATCTATGGGAGAACATATCATATTGTTGACTGTGATAACTGGAGTCGTGAGTATCTAGTAAGCCAAGGTATTTATGTCCCTCCTTCCAAACAATTACCTGCTGACCCTTATTTAAAAAAAAGGCAAAAAGTTCTTAAACATCATAATTTTACTACTTCTTCAACTGAGGACAAGTTATGGAAGCTGTTAAACCTTGATCGTCAAGTTCTACGTTTTTACTGTGTTTGGGAGAATCGAGACAAAATGTTTGGTGAGCTCAGATCTTTCATACTGCAGGTAAATATCCATAAACACTGGTTTTATTATTAAAGTATGTTCCTATTTCTTGAAAGTTAGAAAGATTAAGTTTCAACTGTTTTAGTCATTAAGTTTTTAATTATGTTATATATAATATAATAATGTTGCGTCAGCGAGTCACATGACTACTATGACGCAACGTTTCTAGAACTATCATGTACTTTGGCGAATGTT